TGTATCACTTCTCAATTAATCATCTGTGAATTCTGGAAAAAGACCCTGAGCCACAGAAGGAAAAGAATAAAAATACCTCACAGGTCTCCAAGCCTGTGTCCCCTGGGCCAGGACACAGTCGTTGCCTAAAATACACCTCAGTGCTTTGCTTGCCCTAGTTTTAAATGCCACCACCATCACCTAGTATTTTTGCTCCTGAGCCTAGTCGCAGGCCGCTAGCTCTGTGAGAGTCATCGAGGACTTGAAAACGAAGGCAGAGCAACGGCTATCCGCCCCTCCCCCACTGCTCCAGACTTGAGAAGCTGGGTTCTTTGCCTCTCCTTGGCCTTTACTTAAAGTCAGCAATGTGCATTTAACGCTTAACCAGAGTTTTGGGCGGCCGACCTTTTGAAATCTTTCATTTTTCATTTTTACACGTTAAGCTTTGACATTCCCAGCAATCCCTGGGCTCTTTCATCTCATCTGAATTTTGTCTTCTAGCCGCCATGCTCTGTCTCTCCGAGGGAGCCATCTGGAAAACAGTGTGTGAGCCATCGGGCCTTCCCCCAGGTGCCCACAGTTGCAGCTTTCTTTCCTGCTGGCCCCTCCCTGCCACCCACATCCTCCATCCTGTGTCCTCCGGGCTTTGATAACATCTGTCCAGCAGCTCACCTGGCCATTTCCAGCTGGTAGTTCGAAGCTCCTTGCTTTAGGTCTCTGTCCTGCCTGATGTTTGCTACATCTCCCAATTTAGTATCATCTGTAAATTTAATTAACACGCCGTTGCCTCCCTGTTCCAGGCCATTAATGAAGATGTTATGTCAGTACCCGGCAAACAATATTTTCAAGGTCATGAGGAGAGCTCAACTGCTAATACCTCTGCCCATCATGGGGGAAAGAGGCAATCAAGTGCCCACATGTGGTTTGAGTCACTTCCTCTGAGTTTTGTGAACTTCCTTTCCCAGACTTGGGTTGGGTCTTATGACTCCCTGCTGCCTTAGCCACTGCACACCGTGGCAGGTCCCATTTGGATAATGAAGAACATCAAATGATGCCTCCTTTTTACTCTTTTGTCCAATTTCTAGCAGGAGAAACAGCTACTAATTGAGCATTTGTAGGGAAACATGGTGTGCCTGGTAAAGACGAAGTAGTGGTGATCAGGCTTGTTATCTACTCATCTCTCCATTTCTGAAGCACTAACCGTGACCGTGGAAAATACACATTGAGGAAGGACCAGGGCACCTGACAGACAGGGGAGAGAAGACCCTGGTGAGATGGTTCCTCAAGGGCTGACCCACAAGATCTGCAGCCAAGAGGAGCACAAAGGTGAGGCCCCTTCATCCCTGCTGCCACTGTCTGTGACCTCACAGCAGAAGGCCAACCCCGTTAGGCTACAGTCTCCTCTGCATTACAAAGAGTAGCCCACTGTGAACGTTGATTTACCTGCCTTCCATGCCAAACTGCGGATGTCATACCGCAGTACTGCAGTGCCCAGCTCAAAAGGGCTGAATCACAGGACAGATCCAGGATAATGTTATTCATGCCCAGAAAATTGATCCCGGGTTATTTACTGTTTCCAGCATTTAACTTCTCTCATCCCTCATGGCAGGCCTATCTCCTAATCATTTCTCAGACAGAGTGTCTTAAAGGTGTCTCTGAACCAGAGCCCAGGCTGGCCCTGCAGTCCGGGCACAAAGCTCAGAACGCTGGTTTGGAGGGGCGGCAGAGAGCAGCCGAATTTCCCCCTGTGCTTGGCGGGTGGTCTGGCCCGCCCTCTGCAGTCCTCCTGGGTCTAGGTCTGGACTACCCAAACCTAACAACACACGAGAACAACCAGTGTTTGTCCAGTTGGTCAGCTCAGACTCGTCGTGCTCAGATACCTTACGGGGGGATGGCTTAGGGAGAGTGACAGGTTTGTAGAATTTGTACCAGGCCATGTTAAGGGCCTTCTCCAGCAGAGACATCCATGCGCTCACTCGTCAAATGCTGAGGCTAAAGAGCGCAGTGGATCCTGAAGCCAGACTCCTGCGTTTTAAAAAATGGCCATGCCCTTTTTAAAAGCCATGTGATCTTGGGCCGGTAGTTTCACCTCAGTTTTCCCACCTGTAAAATGGGATAATAGCCACACCGGCCTTGTAGGGTTGTTGTGAGACTTTAAAATATGTGTGATATGTGTCATGTCTGGCTATGATTTATTACGTCTCGAGCACCTTCCACTCTGCAGACACTGTTGAGGTCCAGGGTCAGCAAACTTTCTTTAAAGTCCTGACAATAAATATTTTCAGCTCTGTGGGGTTTCCTGTCTCTGTCACATGCTTCAACTCAGCTGTCGTAGCCAAAAAGCAGCCAAAGACAATGCACAAATGAACGAGAGTGTTCCAATAAAACCTTATTTATCTATGGACACAGAAATTCAAATTTCATCTAAATTCACGTCATTAAATATTATTCTTCTTTTGATATTTTGAATTACTTAAAAATCTAAAAACTACTCTGAGCTCACAAGCTATATAAAGATGGGTGTCGGGATGGATTTGGCCTATGTGTCCCGATGTAGGAGCCCATGGTGCAGACCAAGCCTCCCACGTCCAGCCTTGACCCTTGTATGAAGAAACTTTGCTGTGGGTCACAGAGGAGAGATGTAACTGGGCCTCAGTTTCCTTATCTGTAAAATGGGGGGGAATAAGAGCACCCACCTCACGGGGCTGCTTAGGTTTAATTAGAACACGCATGTCAAGCCTCCCTTTGAGTGGTGCGGAGGCCCCACTGCACACAGCACTGGGCTGCAGTAGCAGCAAGGAGGTCTGACTCCAGAATGCACTCACCTCATCCTTCTTTGAAGCTTTAAATTTACCGCTTGAATTATACATTTCCTGCTTGTGTGTCCTGTCTCCCCATTTAGGCTACAGGCCTATAAACCTTCCATACGACACACCTTACGCGTTTCCTTGACTCCCTCAGAGCCTCTGGTGCTCCCCAGCCCTGGGTCTGGACTGTCATTTTCTTTTCATTAATCCGTGGAAATGCTGCCACGCACTCCTGAGCCCTTTCTTTCATGAGGGGCTTCAGGGGAAGACTGGAGACGAGTTATCTTCCTAATACAGCACTCTGACAGGCCGACAGAGAATCTGATGGGTAGAGTTGGCCTGGAGAGGCTCAACAACATCATATATTTAAGTAACAAAAAAGAAAGGGCTTTCATTAAAATGATCCTCTGAGCAGCAGCTGAGTTTTAAGTGCACAGGAGAGTGCCATCTGGGTAGGGGTGGCCTCCACCAAACCGTGACTGTCGCTTGAGGAAGAGGCTTTTCAGGAAAGCCCCAGAAGTCCACAGCATCGCAGGCCCAGCCCGTTGTTTCCACGAGCTCCAAGAATCCAGGCTCCCCAGCCAGAGCCCCCAAAGGTGTGGCCAAAGGTTAATGGGCTCCAAAGGGAAGACCAGAGGTATATAAGGGCTGGTCAGACCAGCCAGACACCAGAGGACATCAGAGAGAGGCTCCGCCAGGCCCGCGCAGACCACGCTCACTCTGTGAGTAGCCATGGAAGAAAGTGGGTGGGAGAGGTGGGGAGCACGAGCCCCAGGGCAGAAGGGTTTGGTGTGAGCTGATCAGCTCCTATGTCCCCCTGCCACCTTCAAATACTTAGCTGTGCTGCAGATGCCCCAAGCTGATCTCCAGGCTAACAGGTTAAAGCCACGCATAGTAAGCAGAAGCAGGGCTGCCCTGAGGCGTGGAGGCTGGAGGGGGCAGCAGGTGAGTGCAATTTCTGGCAACAGAGAGGCTGTTTGGATGGGTGGTGCCAGTGGCTGCAGGCCAGAAGCCCAAGCCAGAGCTCAGCAGGGATGCAGGACCCCACTGGGCACAGAGGCTTTGCTCTGGAAAGTGAAGGGGAAAAGCTGGTCCCTAGGGAGATTACACGGCTCAGCAAGACTCCCCAGGCTTGGCGCTACCCAGAGCTGGAGCCCATCCGTGGTGATGGAACGGGAAGTTAGCACCTCACCACGCTGCGAAAAGCTCTCTCCCACTCTGAGCTCCCCAGAACACAAATGAATGTAGGTGATATGCCGACTGCCAGTTGGATCAAGAAAATGAGCAGCAATTGGATTTTGCCTTTTTTTTATTTCAAGTTTTATTGATTCTTATGGAGGGAATTAAATGCCAACACCAGAATGAAAAGGGATCCACAGCGTCTCCGTGAAGGAAATGGGATGCCATAAATGTGACACATGCATCTCTGCTGGGAGGGAAAGTGGGGCCCCGGGGACTCTGGAGGGAAAGGGTGGAAATAGAGGGGAGGAGCAATGACTCAGAGCTTCCCACCCCCACCCGCTCTCTGTCCCCTCAAGATCCTTCTAGGACTCTGTACAGGGCCTCGGTGGCCGAGAGGTGGTCTGCAGTGGGTGGGTGGTCCTGTGTACAGCTGGATGGGAGGCTTCGGCTGTCTGAGTTCTCATGTTCTTTCTCATGGAGTTTTATCAAGATGGGGAGAGAAAGTAGGAAAGACGGGAATGCAAGAAGGCAGAGGGAGTGTCCTGTGTAGTAGAGGTGGCTTCAGATGACTGAGGAGACAGGTCCTGGCAGAGAGGCAGGACACAAGCCTTGGAAGATTCTCCTCAAAGCGAGAGTCAGGGTTGGACCTGCAGAGGATTTGGAGGCCAGCTTAAGCAGGACCTTCTCCTATACAACCGAATCCTGTGGGAGGCTCTCGTTATCTGAACACTCTTTTTTTATCTGAAACCCTGTAACCACCCCAGGCCTGCTGCAGGAGAGGCTACCCCTGGTCTCTCCCTGCTCTGTGGTAGGGTGTTGGGGAAAGCAGCAGGCCTCAGAAGGCCAGGCTTTCAGGCACCACTGCCTGTGAATGAGTCCCTCCTCCCCTCCCCAGCTCACACCTGCTCCCAGGGGTATGAGGATCTTATGAGAGGGGACTTGGAATGAGACACTGGGCACTAGTGTGAGGAATCAACCAAGCCTGGCACCCAGAAGGCCAGGCCCTCCTCCCCATCCTGACCCTGCCCGAAGTCCACCCGGCTGACCTCCTTTCTGAAGTCTCTGCACTCCTGCTCTCCCCACGCTCACTGCTCCGTGTCAGGTCTCTGCAGCTCACCTTCCTGCCCACCATTCCAGACATACCCACTTCCTGGGATGCAGGAGGGCCAGCACTCAGGGCATGCTGAGGTGTGGAGTGGGGGCGTGCAGGGAGGAGGTGCCCCTTATTGTTTCTGCATGACAGCTAACAGGTCGCTAGATTTGCTGGCGCTGGGGAGGGGCTTGTTCCAGAGCCAGTGCTGGCCCCAGAGCAGTGGGGACTCCACTCTCAGGTCTTAGATGCTGCTCCACACTGAAGCTTTCCATCTGGCTCTGCCTCCACATGGGCAGAGGGTCTCGGTCCTTTTCCCTCTGGACTCAGGGTCTTAGCCTGGTGCTCCCAAGTAGAGTCGGGGTCATCTGGGCCTGGGTCCATCCCTTTCAACAACCTAATTGGCTCAGGGGGCAGAGTGGGCTCCCTGGATCTTGGGGCATAGTTCTGTTGATAATCGAGGAGTTTTTCTCTGAAACATGAGGTCCCTCCCACTTCAGGAGCCCAGTTGACCCCAGCAGAACTCGCCTATAACAAACAGGAGGGTCAACAAGTGGAATGATTCTTCCCTGGTGTGTGGCAGGGGACTGGGCAGCCTTGCCCAGGTGCTTGGTCAGCTCTCAAGGCTCTGGGGTACAGTGGGGTCTCTGAGCTTCTCTGGTAAAGCCCCATACCAGGTCCATGTCCAGAGAGGCTAAGCAGCTTGCTGAAGATCACACAGCCACAGGTAGGGCATGGACCGACCAGAGCTGAGGGCTCCTGCCTCCAACGCAGTGATCCATCCCTGCACCCTACACTTCAGGACAGGAACTCCCTGTCATTGTCCAGCTCCAGGATGGTGTCCCGCAAAGCTGTGGCTTCCCTGCTGCTGATTCATGTCGCCGCTATGCTGGCCTCCCAGACAGAAGCCTTTGTTCCCATCTTCACCTACAGCGAATTCCAGAGGATGCAGGTAAGAAATCTGCTGCCCACCTCCCCAGTGTGGCCCAGGTGACTCAGCCCTGCTTAGCACTGCAGTGTTGTGAGCTTTACTAAGGCACAAATGTCTCTTCCGTAAACCTACGTTTAATCAACCATGCCAGTGACACTGAGGACAACAGAAGAACCTGGACCCAGGATGACCCCAGACTTCAGTTGTCTCCCTGGCCACCTCCACCATTTCATGAGAGCCACTCAAAGGCGTCAGTGGAGTGACATCTTTTCCCACCCCTGCCCATCCTTCAGAGGAAATTTTCAATTAACAAGTCAATAAATATTTGCTGAGCATCTGAGTGAGAAGCCAGACATACAAGGAAATTTAAGAACCTCCTGTCTACAAGGAGCAGGCTCGGGAGTCAAGACACAAACATATGAAAAATTCACTAACAATAGAAGACAAAAGGGAGATGTCACAAGGCAGGGGATGATTAATTGCCCAATAAGTGATGCTGATGGTAAGCGCTGAGCTCAGAGGAGGGGGAATCACTGTGGGCTGGCACCTGTTCCGAAGCCTACAGGGAATAGGTGAGACACGAGTGGGGGCCTTGAGAGAGCAGGAGGGAGAAATGGGTGGGAGCAAACGTCCAGGGTGGGAGAGAAGGTGGCTTTCCAGGTAGCAGTGGCCAAAGCCTCCTTCTCTTTAGAGCCCGGGAGGAAACAAGGTAGGCTGAATGGAACCAGGCAGCAGGACCTAAGGAAAATTGGACTGTTGGGCCTATCTCCCTGTGACTTTTACTCTTAGATGTCAGGGGTTCTGAGTGTCTGTGCCAACACTGGTTTCTCTTTCACACGAGGAGGTGAAGAAATGGAATTTCATGTCCCACCAGTCTGAGACCAAGTCTCTAATAGGGACAAATACCTGAGTCAATTCTCTGGGAGGTCACGTGGTCTTGTGATCGGGCTTCTGTGTCTACACCCTCTGTTCGGGGCAGGCATCCATATACCCACTAAACAGCGTCCCTTGCGGAGGCAAGGCTGGAACCCGCTCTTCTTCCTCAGGGACTGGCATGGAAACTAATGGAGAAGCAGCAGCAGGCCCCCTAAACATACTTCCTCCATCGCTGGCTCTCTCTCCAGAAAAGACAACAAATGGTTCTAGAATCACATTTCAGGGCAGGTCCAGAGCTGAATCCCAAGAGTGTCATTAGAGAAACCAAACGAAGGGGGTGTATCTGATCTCAGTGCTCGGGGCCCTGGCAAACAGGGTGCCAGGCAAGATTTGGGACTGGACAGAAACAGGCAAACTCAGTAGAATATAAACTAGCAAAACGGCGGCCAAAGGACACTTCGCATTAATTTGCTCTATGGTTTTGCTCCCTGTAATTGCCAGGCTCCAGGATTTTTATGAAGAAACTGCAAACTCCTTCCTCCATAATTCATCTCCCTGTCTTGCCTCTTATAAATCACCTCCCAGGGACTCCAGTTTCCGGGCCACCCCACATGGCACCCTCGCAGGCTAGACTCTCTTGCCACCTTTTTATAGGCTCTCTGCTAAGAAAAACACATTTTCACACTTAATATGCATGAAAAAGGCCATTATTTTCAGCATTTTAACTTAATTAACAGTAACAATCTGAGTGCAATGTTTGAACTTCAAAGGAACAGCTTCCTCTTCAAGTTGACCAGTTGGTGGGCAACTCTGAGGACCATTCATAAGCCACTGGGTGTCTGTGACTCCTCGTGCAGAAGGCGCCTGGGGGGAAGAAACTCTTGTGGCCTGTGGGGAGCTCGGGCCAGTTGGCATCCTGAGCAGAAACAGGCTAGGGCCATTGGTGAGCTGAGGGAGGCCAGGTTTTGTGCAATGTTATGCTCTGCCCCTAGGAAAAGGAGCGGAACAAAGGGCAAAAGAAATCCCTGAGTGAGCAGCAGAGGTCTGTAGAGGTCAGTGCCCTGGACCCCGCAGAGCCCACAAAGGAGGAAGACCTAGTTATCAAGGTAAGAAGATGGGGGACAATGCAGGGGAACCTAATGCAGGCTCCGCTGGCCAGCCACAGAATGTGCCAGGGTACAGCAGTGAGCCAGCCATTCAGGCAATGAACGCCATCCTAGGAGGGAGAGACAGACACCAACAATGAGACAACAAGCTATTTTATTACCAAAAAAGGAGGTATGACAGAGAGTGATGGGGTGGGATTTGGCAGCACTGCTTTGGATGGGGGAGGGTCAGGGAAGGCTTCTTGGAGGAGGTGACATTTGATTTGAAACCTGAATGAGAAGGGGCCCTTCATGCAGGCGGTGAATACTGACTGAGCCCTGTTATGTATGTGGCACAGTTGTAGGCCCTGGAGATAGAGTGGTGAACAAAATGGACAAATCCTCTGCCCTCCTGGTGCTCACACTCCAGTGGGGGGGAGGGGGGGGCAGAAACAAGATACTGGAAGGACAGGCAACATACGACAAACAGGATAAACAAGCAAACTTTGTAGTATGGCAGGTAGTCATAGGTGCTATGAAGGAGGAAAACAAAACAAGGAAAGCAGATGGGGTTGGTTGCGATTTTAAATAAGGTGATTAGAGCATGCTTCATGAGAAGATGGTATTAGTGCAAAGACCTGAAGAGGGAATGAACCTTAAGAATGTTTTGGGGAAGCGCATTCCAGGCATAAGGAACAGCCAGTGCAAAAGCCCTGAGGTAGGAGTGGGCCTGGTGCATTCAGGGAACAGTGAGGAGGCCACAGCGCAGCCGTGGGATTGGGGGAGAGAGTGGGAGGTGAGGCCGGAATGTGGATTCGTAGGCCGTTGTTTGGACTGGGCTTCCCTCTGTTGACTGGGAGCCCTTGGGGGCTTTGAGCACAGGAAGGACGATCTGGTTTACATTTTCAAAGCGTCTCCCCAGTTTCTGTGTTGAGAACAGGCTGAAGGGGCAAAAGCAGAAGCCCGGGTGGTCATGGTGGAGGCAGAGCAAAGTGGTAGGATTCTGGAAATATTTCGGACGTAGAAGTCCACAGGATTTTCTGAAAGAATGGATATAAGATGTGAATAAAGGAAACGGAAAAAGTGACTTGAAGGCTTTTGGCCGGAACACCTGGAAGGATGGATTGGCTGCTTACTGAGACGGGGACGCCTGTGTGTGGTAGGCTGCAAGTTGACAAGGAGGGTCAGCCTGGAACTGTGAAGGGTGAGATGCCTGTTGGGCATCCAGGCGGAGGCCTTGCTCAGGCAGGTGGACACACAAGTCTGGACTTCAGGAGAAGTTAGGGTGGAGACATAAATGTGGGAGTCATCAGCAATCAGATGGAATTTCAAGCCAGAATAGGGCGAGATCATCCAGTGGGTGGGTAGAGATAGAGAAGGGAGAGGCCCCAGGACTGAGCGTAAGGCACTTCCCTGTAAAGGGACCTGGGAGAGGAGGACGCTGATATCTAGAGAGAGTGAGGGTCTTGCCAAGGTCACACAGTGGTCAGCGTAGAACCGAGCTGGGCGCCGTGCCTCCCGCCTCTCACCGGACACTGGCCAGTGATCTTTCCACATCCTTGGGTTGCCACAGTATGCTGTCCATAGCAGTGAGGTCAAGCGTGTGGGCCAGACAGTGGTCCCGGGGCTGTCATCGCACTGCAGGCGAGGCTCCTTGCCCTCCCTCACGCTCCTTTGGCTCTTGAGAGCTGGGAGTGAGCCTTCAGCTGCCAAAGGGGGAGCTGGCTCAGAACTGCCCTCTAAATGCCCCCAAGGCAGAGTTTAAGTCACTAATTGAGGTTTCCGTGGTACATGTTTCATCCAATGTAACATCTCAAGAGGCTTAGGATGCGGCACCCCTCGTCCCCTTTCCATCTCCCTAGAACCAGGCTATGCAGACCAGCAGGGCCTTTATGGACCATCCAGTCTCCTCATTTTAATGTGAGGAATCTGAGGCCTAGAGAAAGGCATAGCCACAGCAAGGGAATGGCATATGCCAGGCTGAGACCTGGAGCCCCACAGAAGCACACCTAAGGCTGCCCTTCAGACATCCAGAGCCCCTTTTCCACCCAGCGGGAAGTGGGGAGCAGGACTGGGACTCCGTGATGGCCAGTCTGCCAGCTGGTTTGCGCAGCAAGAACGCTAAACCAGGAAGCTCCCAGGAAACGAGACCAATCAGTGCCCCTGGTTCCACAGCAACAACCTCTCTTGGTGGTGACCCCTCCAGATAGGTCCTCTAGGGTCTCACTCGTGTCCCTACAGTGCTAGAGCAACTGTAGCCTGGTGGTCACTGACACAGACCCTGGAGACAGGTCCCCTTGTATACCGTTTTTTTTTCTCCGCTCCTTAGTATCTGTGTGGCCTTCAGCAAGTTATCCAATCACTTTGTCCTCAGTTTCCTCATCTGCAAATTGGGGACACTAATCGTCTCTACATCATAGGGTTATTGAGAGGCTTAATATACTAAAGCATTTAGGATGACACCTGGAGCGTAATGAGGCTCCACAGTGTTAGCTATCATTATTCAGGACGAGGGGGCAGTGAGTGTCCCCTCCATATGAATAAGCCAGGGCGACTCCTGCCGACCCCCCTCTCCGGCCCCAGCTTCCCTGCCAGAAGAGGTGTGTTGGTCCTCCTCCGAGCGGGTCTCAGAGACTTCCAGGATCCAGCTCCCTGGTTAGAACTGGAGGAGCCGTGCCAGAATTCCCATCTGGTCAAAATTCCCATCTGGCCCTAGAAACCCAGAGGATCCCAGAGGATCGGGGAGGGGTGGAGCCAGCAGAGTGGTGTTGTTCCCAGCCACCTGTAGGGCACCCAGGGGTTAATGGCACTCTTGGCGCTTCTCCCTTCTTGTTAACTCTGCCTTATTTCACAGCTGACTGCTCCTGTGGAAATTGGAATGAGGATGAACTCCAGGCAGCTGGAAAAGTACTGGGCCGCCCTGGAAGGGGTGCTGAATGAGGTGCTGCCGTCCCCTCAGAACGGTAAGGGGAGGGCAGGTGTCACTGCAGCTGGGGCCTGGCCTCCGCCCACTGCAGTGTTAATATTCCAGGAGCGAATCCGTCTGAGCAGGGTTTGGGAACGGCAATTTGTTTTTCTGCTTTGCACTTGAGAAAATGTCTGTTCCTGCAAGTGTGTCCCACCCCACCTCCCACCCTCATCCCCCAGGTCTCTGAGCCTAATCACAGAGCAGGCAGGCCTGGATAGCTGCTGGTGCCCAAGGAGCCCAATTCCCCAGCCAGGGGCATCTCAAGGCCCTGCCTGGATGCTCAGGCCCGTTTCCCAACACCTTTCTGGCAGAGGACTAAAACAAATGACAACAACCCACCAACCATCCTCTGCTCCAGATTCATTCACCCCCCTCCCCGTTCCACCCGCCCCCCCAAAATCACACACACAAAACACCACTGAAGCTGGTGGTTACTCTGAAGAAAACCCTGGTGCAGTCTGGCCACAAAGCCTGCATTTTTTTCATCATTCTGCAAGTCGAAGTCCTTAGCCCCATCTGGCCTTGCCCAGTTCAAGGTCTGCCCAAGTTACTTGTGCAAAGGTAGGTGTAGGCTGACAAATAGCCACTAATTACTTCTCACAGTCAGTCCCCCAGGAGGAGAGAAGCCAGGGAGGAAGTGCTAGAGGTGGAGAAACTGGGAGGTTAAATGACTTGCCCCAGGCTACAGAGAAAGCTAGAGGTAAAGTTTCCAGAAACCTGGCAAAACCTGCCCCTCCTGGGTGCCCCTCCTCCCTCAGACCTGCAGGCAGGTTTAGAAGGTGGTTTCATAAGCTCATAAGAGGACCTGCTGACACTACTGAGCTGCAAACCTTTGCTTTTCTCCAACAGGCAAGTGACAGCCCACTCCAGGGAGAAGGTGGCCAGAACTGGGAGGCCCCTCCCAGCGATGGAGGCCCAGGAAGTCTGCAGGGACCATCAGCTGGGCTTGGAAAGAAGACACCCTCTCCCAACTAAATCCCCCTCCAGCAAATAAAATTTAAAATATATAGCAACAACTCTTATTTACGATCTTAATTTCCAAAGGTCAAACTCAGGTCATGCCATAAAGGGAGAAAAAATAAAGCCCAGAGGGAGTTTGGCCATAAGTGGTGCATATATTAGCAAACTGTGCACCTTTTGTAAGTTCTATGTTCAAACATTAATTTGTACCCACAGAATTGGAAGATCTGCACTGGCCCTTCTGTCATAGGTGAGGAAACTGAGGCCCAGAGAGATGGCATATTTTTGTCCACGCACCTAGTGGCAGAGCAAGGGCTGGAATTCAGGTCTCCTGAATCAGGGTCCATTTTCTATTTACCAGTGAGCTTGAGGTCTAATGGACCAGAGAGTTTTAAGGCCTCTGCACTCAACCCCTTGCTGAGTAAACTGCCAGCTAGCCCTTTAACCTCAATGAACCCTTGCAAAAGTAATAATATCCGCCTTGAGAGGTGGGGAAGGAGGCACAGGCAAAGAGCAAATGATTATCACCTTGCGACTCTATGCTCCAGAATCTGCAGCAAAATTAAACAGCCAACTTACTTATTTCTGCCTTCTAAACAAAACTGGATGGGAACTTTCATTTTTAAATTTAATTTAATTTTACATTAATGAATGATCATTTATTTATAAGCTAGGGCCATATAGGAACCACAGGTTACCAGCAATTAGACACAGTGCCTGTTCCATGTTTTCATCCACCTTAACCACCATGGGGGCTTAGCCGCAGATAGTTACCAGAAAAGGAGACCCCGACCCTTAAAAAGAGCCTCCTTTGGGGTGCTCTGAAACTGAAGAACACCCAAGCCTTCTACAGCACCCAGATCCCACTCACACATTGCACGATCACAGTTTCCAATACACATACTAAGCAACCTAAGCACAGCTGCAGGTTCCCGGGAAATGCTGCCAAGACGCCCAGTAATAAATGGAGAGAGGGTTGCACAGGGCATGTGAGAAAGGAGAAGACACAGGAATCTAAAAAATATGCGACTGGGAGGAACCGAACCCAGGACTCCTGGCCCTTCCCAGCTCCCCCATGCCAATCACTCCATTATCTGTAACACACTCCAAGAAGCAGAAAACAAAATGCTCAGTTTCCATGTGGAAGACACAGATTTCATTTCTTTTCCCCACTCTCTGCTCAGATCTGCCCCTACAGTGAGACCACCTTCACCTATCCCCGGCAGGGGGTGCCCATTTCTGGGGCAGGGGCCCCAGCACCCTTTGGGGAATTTTCTTTAGAATCTTGGGTTTACAGAGCAGAGTTGAAACAGGTGCCATGCAGGGAAATGAGACCCATGAGCGATTTCACCCCAGGTGGTCTACATTTTTTTTTTAATGGGAATTGGTTCAGCAACCACAGCTCCTGGAAAGTGTGAGGGTGCTGCCTGTTCTGCACAACAGCCCTGTTCAAAGCTCAGCGCTGCAGCCGGCTTGTCCCGACCCTCGCCCCGTGGCCTCTGATGTGCTTCTCGGTAATGAACCGCAACAGGGACCCAGCCACCGCTGGCATCTGTATGCACAGTGCCCGGGGCCCTGTTTAGATGTGTCGGCTCCTTTCTTCTCTCCTTTTCCTCCTTCTGCCACTGTTCGATTTCTCACAATCAGCTCAAATAATTCTTTTCCTCCAACGAGCTCCTCCGGTTTCTAGGACAGCAAGACTCTATTGCTTACAGGACCTGCACAGTCCTGGAAGAAATTAAAATTGGAGGAAGGTTGCAGAGGATTCCGTGAGCTGAGCTAAGAGAAAATGACCAGGTTTTCACAAAACAGAACTAAAAGAGACACACACACTCTTGCTTAAAGCCATAGAATGACTGAGCCACGAACCAGCCAGAGTCAGAGGTGGAGAGACACCCAGGGGAACCAGCCCTGTGAGGATGGGCTCTTTCTCACATCTCGCTGAGATTTATCCAGCAAAATCTGCAAGAATCTCTCTAGGTACCTGGCAATTACGGAGAGTTACAGATTACCCATCTTCATTTGGAATGTGCTTTACACTTAACAGGACCACGGTAATTATAGGGCAACCTAGCCGCACAAGATGAAGAGGATGAGGTGTGTTCTCAGTAGCCACATCGGTGTGATTTTATAATTACTGAGCTATGTGGATTTGCCATGAAATTGAATAGTTAAAAGCAAATAGTAATCGTCTGATATCTACACTCTGTAATTTAGTATAATCTAATCATGGACAATGTCCAAAAGAAACTGTTCTGAAAGCATTACATGTTTTTTCATACACAATTCGCTATTGACATTAGGGGATGTATTCCATGCCTCTTAAGGAACGCTTACCCACAGACATCAGAGGGTGAAAGCGGCCAAAAGAGTGAGAGTTTTGTTTCATTTTCAGTCGCTTATGAAAAGTAGGTGACAAAACTGCCTACTAAGCCCGTTCTAGCATTTCTCTGTGACTCTTTGCCCCTTCACTGACCTAGAGACATGGAAGGGTGACTCTCCTTTTCCACAACAGAAATGAAGCAACAAGATGTTAGGCAGTGCTAGGGTCATAGCAATCAAAATCTGAGCCCAAAATGGCACCCATATTGTCCCCCCTTTCCAGCCACACTCTCCCAGTGCTCCGCCCCCACACCTCCCCAGTGTGACGCCACCCATGACATGGTTTTAAGGAAGCCCAGAATAGCTGAGAGGGACGCACGAGGCTGACAACGAGGTGGATCAAGGACAAGTCCATGGTCCCTGAGCATCTTTAAGGACCTGACAAATGTGTGCAGGGCTTTGCAGAAGGAGGAGGAGAATGGAACCCATTGAAAGATTTATGGCTGTTATTATTATAAGGCTCTGCTGAGACAGAGAGAGGTCAACAGGACAGCAGGCAGCGTCTGGGTTCCTCTGGGAATGCAGAGCGTCCTCCAAGCAGCCCCTCACCGCTGCTAAATGTATGGACGCGGTTACTAAGTAGATTTAGACACTGGAGCTTGTTTTTCCTCTTTTGCCTTTAATAAATCAGGAAGACCGACCACAGCCTGAGCTGCTCACCTTAAAAAAAAAAAATTACAACACAGAGATGAGAAAGGAGAGCGTGCAGGGCAGATGTTGACTTTGCAATGTTGCCCTTTTCTCTAAAATATGGGTTCCCATCCTGAACAGACCCAGCTGAAGAACCAGGATGAAGACACAGAAAGGCAGCTTCTGAAAAGGCCCACAAGGGCCCGATGGGGCCGTGGTGGCAAGGAAGCACTGAGTCCCAGGTGGGGGGGGGGGGGGGGGGGACAAGGGTCGGAGAAGGAAGTGTGGGAACTGTTGTGTGGAGGAACGTGAACAGCAACAAGCTGATTTCACTAAAGCAGGTGAAATAGCCTTGGGGGCAGAGACTGTTAATGGAGGACCCAGCGAGGTTAGTAATCCAGGGAGGGGGCAGGACTGGAGCAGGAAGCTCAGAAGGAACATGGAAAGGCCGAGACCTGAGAGGAATAACTGATATGTGAGGGTTTTTTCTGACTTTCTCAGATTGTGAGGTTTCTTCTTGGAGGGAGTAGAGAAAGGCCTGCTGGACCTAGCAAAGCCAGGCACTGCCAGAAGCCACGGGACACAGAAGGGTGGGCCATCGGGGTGGGAGTGACTGGTTCCAGGCCAGAGGGATGACACAGGGAGGGACAGGGGGAGGGGCACTTGGCCCTAGGTGTGTGTGGCAGCTGCAGTGTCCCCAAACACAGGGAAGGCTTACAACTGACAAAGCCCACCCTGGGGGCCACTAGCAGGGGTGGCTCCAGTTCAGTATGTATTTTTAAATCATCCTGAGATCCATTGTGATGAAATAGACCATAACTCTGGGAAATGCTGTGACTTTTAACTTTGTTTAAGCATCAGTTTCAAGCCCTCTTAGAACACACAGGGCCAGTATTGATGCCGAAAGGCTCATTCTTTATATATTGAACTGCACAGCTGCAAGGAGTTGCACAAATGTTACCAACTCATTTGTCATGCAAACAGTGCTTCAGAAAGAAATAAAATACTATTATGTGGTATATGTGTTAGGCAATCACTATATCAAATCCATGGCATTCCGTGCAAACACAGGCAGAGAAAAGGAAAACAACACTTGGTGAGAGAAATCGCACCACATGGGAGCAGCTAAGTCGGGACATGGGGAGGGCTAACAACGGAAGCCTGACCAAGCTGAGGCTGTAATTTTCCCAGCAATTGTGGCCAGTGTTGAATGCCCCTGTGGTAGAGCAAGCAGCAGGAATGCAAACTACTGGCAGAGGGGCCTTGCCCACAGACCCCCAGGAATGAGGGGCCTTGCCCGCAGACCCCCAGGAATGGGACAAGGTGGGCGGGTGGGTGATGGGACTGTAGGGGAGGAGGGGAACACAGGGGAAGGGGACACCGGAATTGGAGGGGTAGAAATAGAATGGAACCCAGGAGGTCTGCGATAAATGTTTGGGAAAGGCAGTTGATGGGGGATGTGAAAGGAATACAGAGAGAGAGGGAGGCGGAAGGAAGACAATGAACCATAGCTCTATTTCCATTTGCCACCCCTCCCCAGGCTTCCCTTAGGGCTTTCTCCCTAACAGCTGTCACTTAATCAAACCGAGTGCCCTCTGGGAGGTTCCACACAGCAATGCTGCTGCAGAGATATGGGTTAAGTATAAACACTTAGGAGCATGTGCCAGGCACTGTCCTAAGCACCTTATACAAATCACCTCTTCTAATCCTCCCAAAACCCTACGAGGTTTACTAACCAACAGGCTAGCAATGTTAATTAGATATGATCACACATCTAATAGTGGTGGCGTTGGGATTCGAGAACCCCCAACATCAATCCAACCCGTACCCATCTCTCCTTATGAAAATCCCACTATCCAGCCACACAGCTTCTTCCCAGAAGCCTAAACTGCACACTGGAGCCCAAAAAGGCATTTGGCTCTTCTGCCCTCTCTGTGGATGCGTGGGTGCAATGCAGTGCCCCCTCCAACAGGAGCGCCCTGCAGGCCTGCCTCTGGCTGGGGCAGGGCCTGCAGGCACTTGGGGCTAACGTCTGTGAGTGAACCACCAGGAAAACAGGCCTGCGGGTCACAGAGCATGCCACAGGTCTACTCCACGACAGAAACAAAGCCCTTCCCTAAGCGCAGAAGGGATTCTCATCGGTCCTCAAGCACCGAGAGAGGCAAAGTTTCCATCTCCCTACTCTGGCAGTGGCTTACCTTTCACCCTTAAGCAATTCATGCATTAAATCAACATGACTTTATTGAGTGTCTACCACGTGCCAGGGACTGCGCAAGGGGCAGGGGATTCAGAAATAAATCCCGCTTGGTCTTACAGGCAAGGCAAAGGAACTGAGCAAGGAGGGGAAGGAAAAAAGGAAGAAAACAAAACACAACCCGGACCTCCTCAATATGGCGGCCGTGATGGCCGAGCCTGACCTCCTCATCATGGAGGGCCGATCGCCTGGCTCCGACCATCTCAACATGGCGGTCTCAGTGACCTTCCCATCATGGCGTAGAGCCCCGCCCGCTCTGCCGCGGCCGCGGGCGGGAGCAGTTCCGGGTACAGTTCGCGCCGGGGGTGGGTGGGGGGCGGCGTCCTGGCCATGGCCGGCCTGTCGGACCTGGAGCTGCGGCGGGAGCTGCAGGCCCTGGGCTTCCAGCCAGGACCCATCACCGATACCACCCGGAACGTCTACCGCAACAAGCTGCGCCGCCTGCGGGGAGAAGTCCGGCAGCGGGAGGCGGCCCGGCCACGGGGCGAGGAGCGGCTGCGGGAGGAGGCCCGGCTGCGCGAGGAGGCTCCGCTGCGCGCCCGGCCTGCCGCGGCCTCTGTGCGGGCGGAGCCCTGGCTCTCCCCGCCGGCCTCGAGCTCGGCCTACGCGACCTCTGGGGCCTACGGCGATCTCGGGGCCTACAGCGATCTCGCGGCCTCCGCGGCTTCCTGGTCCGGGAGCCGCGGCCTCGCCTACCCCGCCCGCCCTGCGCCGCTCAGGCGCCGCGCCTCGGTCCGGGGCAGCTCCGAGGAGGACGAGGACGCCCGACCACTCAACAGGGCCACGCCGAGTCTCGGGGCCCGTCGCTGGTGGGCCGCGTCCCCGGCGCGGCTGCCCTCCGCCCTCCATGGCCCCGACCAGCGCCCTGGCCTGCGGGCGACGCGAGCGGGCCCAGCGGGCACAACGCGGGCCCGGCCCGAGGTGGGGCGGCGGCTGGAGCGCTACCTGTCCCGGTTCTTGCTCTGCGCTAGCCTGGGGCTGCTGCTCGTCTTCCTGGGCATCCTCTGGGTGAAAATGGGCAAGCCCTCGGAGCCGCAAGAGGCGGAGGACAACAGTACGTCCCGGGCCGGCGCAGGGGAGGGCCCTGGGCGCGCGTGTCCACCAGAACGACCACCTGTTCCTCTCAACGCCAGGCTGCACATTCCCACGCCTCGGTCAGGTGCCTCTGGCTGTCTTCTTACCTCCAGACCTTGACTTTCCTTCCTCCAGCTGTGGGGGAGAGGGCTGGGATTCCTGCATCTGCAGTGATTTCCGTCTTCACTTGCTCCTGTTCTCGTTTTCTGCCCTAGCCCTCCCTACTAATCTCCCCTTCAACCATGTGCTGGAAGCAATCTTCATTTGCAGTTACTTTTACCCCAAACTCTGGTCTCTAGAAAAAGCCACACAGACAAGCCCGCCTCCATTCCCTTTTAGTTCTTTCTTCCCTTTTTGATCTCTTGCTCATTCACACATTAGTGCCCATCTGAAGGCACCTCAGGCTTCACTGCACACAGATGGGATCTGGTTGGGGTCCCAGCTTTGCAGCACCGAAAAGGCCATGTGCTCCATCCACTTCTCTGGACCACAGGGCCCTCATTTGTCAAAGGGAGATTTTACAAGCAGTGCGTATGAGACAGGTGTGGAAGAACCTTTTAAAGGGCTTAAATTGATATAAATGATATAAGGGCAGGCATTTATCATTGCCTGCAGCACTTTCCTGGAGCGTGTTAAGCGAAGATTCTGTAATTCAAGGACACTCCCAGCCATACTTCTGTCCACACTTAGTGACGTGATTAGACATGCCAATAAGGGGTCTGCAGGTTACAGTATGCTTCCTGCATAGCTGAGGATTTGTGTGTTTCCTAACAGGTAAATTCGCCCCTTGGGTAATCCTGAGCTCTAGTCTTAACAGGAAACAGTATAGAGACCCTGTCTTCTTATAAATTTAAGTATAAAGTGATACTAGTTCACCAACTTGTAATATTCTTTGCAAAGCATGAATGTGATTAATACTGTTCCCAGATTTGAGCCAAGGCCACATCTTTTCACGCCTAGCAGGAACAGCCAAAATGCAGGGGAAAGCTAAATTATGTCTTAGCTGTTAACAGCAGATGGATGTTTGGGTGTAATAAACAAGTCTGTGGGCACGGGGATCCCAGACTCGTGCATGCACCCAATTAGTATCTTGACTATGAGAGCAGTTATCCACCCACTGGAGAAATTAAGCAGACCCGGGAGTATCATGGTACTGTACTAGTACTGTAACTAATCTGGTGATGTCAAGCAGTATACTGTCCCTCACTGCTGAGATGCTTTAAGACAACCGCTATTGGAGATATACTGGGATTTACCTGGAGTTCCCCTCCCATGATGGTATTAATCCCCTGTTTCACATATCATTGTTTGTAATTTATAAAACTGTCATGTATGTTGTCTTGTTTGAGTCTAACTCCCTGAGTTAAGCAGGGAAGGCTTTATTGATCCTGTTTTATGAGGAGTAGAGGTTCAGAGTGGTTGAGTGGCCAGGTACCATGGCTAATCATTTTCAGCTGGGATTAGGACCCAGCTGTCGTAATTCCTAATTCAGGGCTGGGAAACCCTTAACATAATTCCTAATTCAGGGCTGGGAAACCCTTAACATTTTACTATCTGCATTTTAAAAGTGCCTCATTTGGATGATATCTTTGTAATCCCCCCCTTATGTTGGTAATGTTTTACTTCCCCTGAATTTTGAGAGTGGTCCCTTTCTGTACTTTTCCTCAACCCACACTTTTAATTTCCTCTGTGTTTCTTTTCTTGGTCTCAGTGAAATTATTGCCAGTGGACTGTGAGAAAAAAACAGATGAGGTGAGTTTTGAGTTTCTCAAGCTTTTATTTTTCTCGAGGATGTTAGCCTCCATGAGGAGGGAAACTTCCCCAGAAAAAGATCATAATAGGATTGTTTTCAAGAGTGTTTCCTGTAATGTACCAGAATCACATCGTGTTCTGTGATGTTTGTGTCAGACTCAATTGTGACAGTGAAGGAGTACTTGAAACAGAATTGCGCTCCCCAGATCCAACCCTGGGCTTGTTAAAGAAGCCCTTCCATCAGTCGCAGCATTGGGGACTTTGATCTTCTGCCTAAGTCGATCTAGGGGAATGCTGTAAGTTGTGGTTGAAGGACCTCTCAAGCTTCCTGGCTTTGGGAGGAAGAGCTGGCAGTTTTTAAGCGACAGGAGGCCATGTTCTCAATTCTGCATTCTCTCTAGGAGTACATCTTGTGGCTCTGAAAATGCTGCTCTGATTTGAAACATCATGGGGTGGGGGGTGGGGGGGTGTTAAACATATCTGAAGTGGAATTAGCCCTCTTAGTCTATAAATTTGTTTTATGAAGCTTTAATGTTCCCTACAAATAATATCTGGGGAAGGTGAGCAGTCCCATCCACTTATGAGCCATGAAAGGAGCATTAGTGAGGAGCTGGGATGCTGGTACAGGTGGTAGTCCGGGGAAAACATGAGGCAGTCAATTTTCAGGTCATAAATCCTATTAGGAGGAGCCTTGTGCTGCCTGAGGGTATGACTTAGTAGTCTAATTATTAAGTGTGCAGTGCCCGGCCTCCTGGGCCCTCAGTACACATCTAGCAACCCTGGGGCTGGGAATATGACACCTGGTCATCTCCAGGCCCCTGCACTCTCATCCACATTAATGAAGGGGCATCCTGGTGCAGGTACCGGTTTTATTTCTCTTTGACTTGTGCTTTGTCATATTTGGGGGCGTTTTATTACATTCATTTATTGCACTCACCCACCAAATACCTTTGCTTTCCGATTGTTCTGTAAAAGTAGTTTCCTAATAAGTTTCATCTGCCTTCCATCATAAAAATCACAACTGATGTTTAGAGGAAGTGGCCCAGAAACACAGGCAGCAGCCAGATGGGAAACAAGAATTTTGAAGACTGAAAACAAAAACAGGAAAAAAATAACTTTCTGTAAGGCTTCTCTGGTGATGATACTTTTTTTGTCTTTTAATTAGAGAAAGGCTCCCTGGTTTCTGTTTCTTTGTCCTTCGCACCTCTAAATGTATCAGACCTACGAATGAATGACAGGTTTGTTCCCTAGCCCTCTGAGCTGGACGTGCTCACGCCCCACTCGAGGGAGCCCAGACAGGCACAATCCAGGTCCTTGCTGAGGATGTGCTCAGTGAGCAGACTGGGTATTGTCACATCAGGGCATGGAAAGGCAGGGCCTGGGCCATCATCAGGCTCCGATGAGCTTGGATTTCATGGGGTGCCCTTGGCCTTCATGGAAGGTGGACCCAGGAACAGGCAGGCTGGGAGGCACTTCCGGGCTTTGCTGAGGTTCTTGCTGAAAGTGTCATTCTTTGTGTGGCTCTGGCTCACCCAAAACCCAGCCAGGCATTTGAGTTTTTTTCCCTTCTAAGCTGTCTCTGACATTTTGTGTTTTTCTTTCTGCCTTTGTGCTGCTGAAACGTGGGGACAGGCTGGGAGTAGGAGTGTTGTCTTAATCAGGCCGTCTTGTTGTCTGGTACCTTCTGTCCTATTTCCTTTAGGTGGTATCAGCCCTGCTCTGCCTGAATGTTGGGGAGTTTGGAACAGTGTTAATTGTTACTGTCTTTTTTCTGGTTGTGACAGTAATAGATGTTTAGTGTAGAAAATTTGGAAAATGTGGCACAGAAAATTCACCCATGATTCTGCCACCTAGAGATAATTACCATTAACGTTTTGGGGGCACTTTCTTTCCATTTTAGCTCTGTGTATGTGTTTTATAGAACCGGAATCTCAATGTATATTCTGTTATGTTTAACACTATCAACATTTCCCATACTATTAAACATCCTTTAAAAATAGTTGGGGTACTTGACTGGTAGACACATGAGTTGTTTCTGAACATTTATGGCCATGTATATATAAATCTTGGTTACATCATTTTGTATCTTGCTAAGGCTTTTGGGTCTTTAGGCAACATGAGGGGACAGATCTTGGCCTCTGAGTGTTAGAAACCAAGTTCCTCACATTTCAGATGAGGTCAGCAGATGAGCCCTGAGGAAGAAAGTGACTTCAGTTCCTTCTATAGTTGCGGAGCCAGTCTCAGAGCCACTGTGAACCCAGGCTCTTGGCTCCCGGTCCAGGGCTTCGCCCAGTGACACCCCAGAGGAGGCCCGAAGTGTGGGGGGTGAGCTTGGAGTTGGCTGGCCTGACCCCACCACTTACGGGCAAGGGGATCTCGGTGGCTTACCTAAGGCCTCTAAACCTCGGGCTCCCCACCTGAGAAATTGGGGTACAGTAAGGATTGTGGTGAAGCTTCAGTACACCCTCACATATAAGCCACTCGGCACAGTACCTGGCACTTCTTCGACTCAGGGAAGAGCAGCCGTTATTAATGTTCTAGATCCAGTAAGCCTAGCAGAGCGGCATGAGTTCTGTTACAGGTGCTGGAGGACCAGGTATGCAGCTATTCCTATTCCTGTTTTCTCTTACAGATGGCTTTTCTCTCTGACAGTTTTATGATTTCTAGAAATGTTACTTTTTTAGGGGAATCCAGTCTAAAACATTTGCAGCAGATAATCCACAAAGCAGGCAATCCGCAGGCAGATGATAGACACTTGACTCCAAACAACAGGCGGAAATGGCCCAGGGTGGGGATAAGATGCAGCGGAGCAGCGTTTGCTTTCCCTCTGAGGAAGCTGGACTGCTTACTGCATTTCCCCACAACCACGTGGCCTCCGCTCCACGGCCCCACGTAATGGCCTTGATTCCAGCGGAACCACGGGACCAAGGCTGGAGAGCCTCCAGGGCGGCAGACCCTTAGTTACTGGGTCTGCTTTCAGCTCTGCTTCTGCTTTTACTGAGTTCCTTCCCAGTCAGTTAGCTCCATATGTATTGACCCTGTCCTTGGACCCACCATTTTGCAGAATTCGTGTTTATTTTTTTAAAGTATGAGGTGTCCCTTGCTGCTTAGTACTTAATAGTGTGGCTGATGAAGTAAAAACAGACAGACTCCCCTGTCGCCCACCGTCTTTGCTGACTACTTGTCCTGTGCCCTTTCAGTTCTGTCAGGCCCAGCAGAAGGCGGCCTTGCTGGAGATGCTGCACGAACTGTACAACTACCTGGCCATCCAAGCCGGTGAGTGGGTCTTACGAGGCCTGAGGTACCTCGTGAGCAGGATGTGGGCCACTGCCCCAACCAAGCAGGCCAAGGCTGGCTGGTGGGTGGCTGAGATGTTCTGTGGCCATCTCTCCCCTCCCCCTTCTTTTTCCCAACTAGGACAATTTTTTTCAAAGCCTCGATCCGGGGAAAACAAACCCCATTTGGTTTTAACTCCCGGTTAAGGGTCCCGAGGGGTCTGGCAAGGTAATTGGATAGCCTTTTAGGAAGATGTGTTTCTTTCCCGAATCCCCCCACCCAAATGTTTTGGGGAAGGCAAGGTTCAAAGGAAGCCCCCGGGTTTAGTTGGGGGTCCTCCGACCTGGAGGGCATCCCTACACCAGATGGTTGGCCTGGCCAAGTGGAGAGGCCTGTGCGGATGGCAGGGGTCTGCGAGGTGGAGGCCCATCCATGCCCGCCAAGGTCCTGGTGTCACATCTGGTCCTGATCGCCCCATCCGGCTGCAGGACCTTGGACAAGTCCCTGATGTCCTCAGGCCCTCCTTCTCCCTGTTACTGAGTGATCTTGTCGTCTTTTTGTTGTTGTTGTTTACAAAATGAAAATCAGTTGCTGTACTCTGGAGGAAGGCATTCTCAGCACCCCCAGGAAAGACCCCCAAAAGGCTCCCCTACTGTTTTATTTGGTAAACGCGTTCCTTGAGGCCAGAGGTGTCACTTGCATTATTGTGTCCTCCCCCACAACTGGCATCAAGAGATCTCTCAGAATCACTTTCTGATGACATAGGTGAATGTCTAGGGCTTGTGCCCCATGTTAAATATACTTGGCACAGGAACCAGGTGGAGCTGTTCAGTCTTATGGGATGTTCACCTTATGGATGTGGCACCTCTTACCTACGGGCCAACCCTTGTCTAAGGTCAGGACCCTTCATGGGTTCTCAGTCTTCAGGACCAGTCTTGTGGGCCTCCGCCCTGCTACGTCCTCCCTCCTGACTGACTGGTGGGAGACTGGAGGTGGTCGGGGAGGCATCTAGAACTCCTCAGAGGAACGGTAGGAGTTGGAGCTCACAGCATCACGGGCATCATGGGCATTTCTCTTTGGCCCGGGTGCTTAGGATAGAAATTGAGGCCTAAGAGCTTGTTCTAAACCTTTTGTGACTCAGTTGTGGTTCAAGGACCTGCAGCGTCACCTGGGAGCTTATAGAAAATGCAGACTCTCAGGTCCCATCCCAAACCTACTAAATCAAAGTCTGTATTTTAATAAGACCCCCAGGGGATAAAGTTGAGAAACTGCTCTTAAACTATGGATCCTAGCAGACATTTCTGCTCCATCCTGTCCTCCCTGTGTGGTCCTGGTTTATACCATCAAGAGGCCTGGTCCTTGCTGCACTCCGATTAGCCTAGCAGGGGCAGCCCTGAGGGTATGCGTCTCACTGAGACAGGCTGCCAGGGAGTGTGGGCTGTCTGCTCGGCCATACTTTCTTTCCCCCACCTCCTGTTGGAGACAGCTATGGGCAGGGCACTGTGCTGGCCTTTATAGGATACAAGATGGCTCAGCCCTGGGTCCTGCCCAAAGGCCGCCTGTGGTCTAATAGAAGAGACAGGCCACCTACCTCCCTGACCACTGGGTGATATAAGATGCCTTTGGATGAGAGCCAAGAGGTCAGAAGTTCCAAAAGGTGTGATGCCTTTCAGCTCCAGTAGTCAGGAAAGTGTCACCAGGGAGGTGGCGTCCGTGCCAGGCCCTAAAGCCCAGGTAGGATTGGTTATATATTGGGTTGTCAGAAAAGTCATAACCCATTTTTGCAATGAAAAACATAGAAGAAATACGTCATGACTTTCCCAACACCCAATTATGTGAAGGGAAAGTTGGAGCCAAAAAGGCAGGAAATTACAGGGTCCAGAGTGGAAGTAGTTGGCTTCATGGGGGAAGGTGAAACAGGAAATGGAGTTTGGAAAGGTCAGTTGGCCCCACTGTGGATGGCCATGGATGCCAGGGCACTAGGGCTTGATCCTGCAGGCAGTGAGGGCCAGGGAGGCTTCTGAGCAGGGGAGTGATGTGCCGAGAGCCAGGTGGCAGGAAGGCAAATGTGGCAGCAGCTTAAGTGGAGTAGATTTATCTAAGCAGAATTATTTTAAAGCTTTATTGACCAATAACATGTGGATGAGAAAGAGGCAAGGAGGAAACCAGTCAGGAGGCCGTGGCGAAGGTCCAGGCAGGGCTAAGCAGGGCAGGGCAGTCTGGGTGGGGGCAGGAGGATTGGAGAAGCTAACTTGGTCTCATAGGACCCAGAGGGTCAAGATCAACTTTGAAGTAGGAGGGATGGGCTCCAGTTCATTCTCAAGATTTTTAATACTACCTTCAGCCACTCCCTCCCCATCACACAGACACACACAGACACACACAGACTGGCCATCAGAGCCCCCAGATTATGCCAAGTCAATGGCAGTCAGACCATGTGTGAGGGTAAAGGATCCTTATGTACCCAGCCCTGCACTGTCCCTGCTCTTAAGGGGTCTAGCAGTGAAATGGCGCGTAGTGGGTGAACCACAGTGGGTGATCGAAAGCCAAAGGCTGTGGCAGGCCCCCAAGTTCGGAGCAATCTGGCTAAACAGAGGCCCCCACAGCGGGGCTTTCCAGAGGAGGTGGCCTTTGGGCTGGACCCAAAAGGCTGGCAGGATTATGGGGAGGCTCCCAGCTCTGTCCTAGGTGGGAGCTGGCCCCCGCCCAGGGTGCTCAGAAGGGAGCTTTAGAGCACTTCTGAGGCCTCACTAGCTGTCCAGCACGCAGATACCACCTTCCTCCATGGGACATTTTAGACATTCCTCCCCTCAAAAACAGTCGTTCCAGGTCACCTGCCTGTATTGTGTGTCAGAATCCCTGCAGCACCTATGGCCTCCCTGCCTTTCTTTTTCCCAGGCTGTGCTTATTTATAGTGCCGTTCCAGTACCTTCCAAAGCTATCTGTCTGATCCTTTTAGGGATCAATTGCAAACAGACCTTGGTATTGGGCAGCTTTTTAGTCATTTAATGCAAATCGCTGCACTGCTTTGCAGGTCAGGTTTTAATGATCTGGAATCGATCCAAGCTAAGTGGCTTTTGATCTTGCTGCAGAGTGAAGATGCCCCACAGAAGCCAGAGGGCCAGGCCACATGCTCCCTATCAGAGCTGATGGCTTGATTCTTGCTGCATTTTTTTTTTTAGTGTTTCAGGGTAATTTTTTTTCACCTCTTGTTTGTGTTTGAATGTGTGTTTTTTTCCTCCTAGGTAATTTTGAATGTGGAAATCCAGAGAAGCTCAAAAGCAAATGCATTCCTGTAACTGAAGCCCAGGAATATTTAGCCGTGAGTAGGCTGTGGTGCTCACACATCCCCGGGAGGTCCTGGTTCTTTTGTATTGATCTTTCAAACAATGCATTTGTTTTTTTGTTTCCCTTTGCATTTTCTGTTTGTTTTTGGCTTTTTTGCTTTCCCTTACTTTTTTCTTTTTAATTTAGTCGAGTGCTAGGCTACCTTAAGGGAGAGGTGGCGGTGACTGGGCCCAAGGTGAGCTGGGAGTCAGAGTGGGGCTGCTGATGTGCATGCGCGCATCTCACTGCTGACCAGGGGTGCAGATGGGTGCAGGCCGCTGCAGGCCATCCCTTCTAAAATGGCCCTGTCACCTGCTCCTCCTGTGATTTGCTTTTCTCCCCTTCTCAGCAGATTTAAGGAATACATTTCACCTGTCTATTCTCTCTCCTTATGAGTACTGTGTGGATTGTTCAGAGTCCATTTAATTTTCCCAAGGCCTTAGGATGATAGAATTTTGGGTATTTGGAGCTGGCAGAAACCTCAGTCGCCTAGTCCAGTTTTCATGTTAGAGATGAGGAAACTAAGGCCCAGAGAGGGACAGTGACTTGCCGAGGGCCACACAGCTAGGACTGGCTACCAGGCCTCCCAACCCACACACTTTTTTCATTTTACCCAAGATGAGCTGCCACCTCTCTGGCCTAATTCTTCATTCCTTAAGAAAACTGTTCTTTTGGCTGCCTCAGACCCACATTGTTGTCCTGTGTGTGCTTCCGCACTGCCTCCTCCAGTTACAGCCCCTTCTTTGGTTCTCATCAGCCCCATATCTCCTTCCTGCCAGCTTGCTGCTCATGGAGCAGAGCAGGGCTTTGGGGTGTGTGGAGGACACAGGAGAGGGCTCCCTTAATCCAGCAGCAGACAATGCCCTGGCTGCCCCGCCCAGACGCATAACTAACCTCCCGCCCCTCCCACAGAATGTGACCGGCAGCTCCTCTGCCAAGTTTGAAGCTGCACTGACCTGGATACTGAGCAGTAACAAGGACGTGGGCATCTGGTGAGTGTGGGCAGGGCGTGATGAAGTGGCGGCCCAGCCGTGGGTGCCTACGGCCACTGTCCTCGCCCTTCAGCTGACTCCCTCGCTCCAACAGATGTGTCTCCAACAGAGGCGTCTTGGGTCTGAAGTTAGAGTGCGGGTCTCCTGGCTGAGTGGTTGTGGGTTAGGCTTAAAGCTGGCCATGGAATGCAGTGTGAGGAGCAGTTTCAAGATGAGACACAAAACCTAGGTGTCAGGATGTTAGCCTTGCGTTTTAGCTTGACCTGCTTCAAGTAACTCAGTCTGTGCGTTTTTAATTCACCGGCTCTGCATGGTTTTCTGAGGAAGGCATTTTTCTACACGCCCTTTCCTCGGGTGCTAGTTTTCATTTGTAGATGAAATGATTCTATATGTTGGTTTCACTCAGTATGGAAATTGCAAAAGGAGATACTGGATTTTATTCTGACCAGGCAGTTCCGCCTCATTTCTGTCTCTGGTGAGCACTGTTAGCAGAGATAGTGAGCCCTTTCGCCTTCCTGAAAGGCCCCATCTGGCTGCTCAGCCCTGGGAGGCGGAAGAGGGAGGGGACCAGCCTATGGCCAAATAGCCAGAGATTCCCTGCTGGGAAAGCACTGGCCTATCACCCTGCTCCCATTCCTCAGGGTTTGTCAGGGTCTCTGTTCAGGTTACAGCTCCTGATATTAAAACACACTCTAGGGTTTTGTTCTCTTCCTCTCTAATCCACCCAAATTACTAATTCCATCAGCAGTGCATCCAGCAGAAGCCCCTAGGGCAGCTCAGCCTAAAGCTTGATAACTGGATGCATGGCACAATTAAAATTCATTGGCTTAAAAAAAATAAAGCTTCCCTGAGTGGCTGGTGTTCCTGTGTTAGAAAAGGCAGAGGAGACTGTGCGGCTGCTAGCACAGGAGAATGACATTCGCCTTTTCATATTGGAAATGGCAGCCTGGAGGGTGGCTGAGCCCAGCTCAGGCGACCAGTGTTCAAAGTGGGTTGTGAGAAATCAGGACACTTCAGGTACCAGCCCTTCCGGGGTGCAGTCCAGAATGTGAGCTCGTTGCCTAGCTGGAAGGTTGTGTGTGTGTGTGTGGGCGTCTCCGTGGGTCCTGATGCCTCCTTGCGGGGGCCAGGGCAGAGGCGCTATGGCTGGGACCTGGTCTCGGAGAGCCTGGCAGTTTTCATGCCAAAGCTCGTGGCACCCCAGGATCTTACACTTAAACAGCTTCTGTGCCTCCTTGTCACTGAGGAAAAGCACATTCGCCCAGACTCTCTCCGTTCTTGCCATGCAGTGCAAAGCCAGCGATTCAGTAAACATTTCCATTTCTCTATGCTGGGAGGTGGGAATCCAATTTACAGTTTAATCTTCCACACGCTGAGAGGGGCTGTCAAAGACCCAACAAGGGGGACGTCACTTTAGCGATAGGGGTTCAAGCCTGCTGCCTCTTTAAAGCTTTATTCTTTCTAAGTAGCCAACATGGGAAATTTCTGGGAAGAGTGTAACCAGGATACTAAGTCCATTTTATAAGCAAGTAGAGGCCTCAGCTCCTCCTTCCTTCTCATCCTTCTGCTTAACGTGGGGCTTGGACTGCGGCGCCTCTGAGCTTTTGGACGCGTTTACACCCGTGTCCTGTTTCAGGTTGAAAGGGGAAGACCCGTTGGAATTGGTGACAGCCGTGGACAAGGTGGTCTGCTTAGAATCCGCCCGCCCCCGAATGGGTGTGAGCTGCCGCCTGAGCCGTGCCCTCCTCACCGCCGTCACCCATGTGCTCATCTTCTTCTGGTGTAAGTCCTCGGCCCCCTTCTCACCCCTTCCCCTCACCATCGGGACTCACACACGGTGCCTTCCGGGAACCCAGCTCATGACACTCCAAGGCACGAATGACGAGTTACAGAAACCTGGCCTTTGAGAGTTCATTTGTCCAGTGAACTTGAGGTCTGTCTAATAAAACAGGACATGAGCAAGTCAGCCTCTGCCCTGGGTCGTCTTTACCTGTGGAGATTGGTGGCGGCAGCATGAGGATAACTGGAAAATGTCCTTGACTGTCAGTGTCCCTGAGAGGGAGCCTGGACCAAGCTGGAGGGTGTCCCTTCTTAGGACCCCAGAGTGCAGGCTGCTACGAGGGGCGAGCAGGGGAGACGCCATAAGAGCCTGACCTGATTTTCCTCCCTGAGAAATGTAAACATCTCATGGGGAGCTACAGATGCCTGATGAAAGCGGGAAGGACGCAGGGCGCCGAGCCGAAGAGCAGCACAGGCGGCGTCTCCCGACAGCCAGGCCGCCTTTGAGCAGAGACCGCAGGGTATCTGTGAGGGCGAGAGGCCGAGTCACAGGACCTGCTGGCTCTGCCGAGATAGTTGAGTTACAAATCGCAGGCATGTGGGCGTGCACACGGCTCCCTCACCCATGCTGTCAGGCACAGACATCATTATCGGCAGCAGCATCTCCGAATACAAAGGGCCCGGCATGGATGGCTGGATGGATGCAGCCCCGGGTTCTGGTTCACAGGGAGGAGATGAAAGCCCAGGATGAGGCTGGGAGGAGCCAGGTTCTCGACAGCTGCAGATGCCTCTGTGGTGACAGCTGGCAGGGATGATGATGATCACTTAGCCTGTTCTCCCTTTGCATTTCTTCATCCCTTGTTTCCTGCATGCTAGCCCTGGGCCCGACACCTAGTAGGTACTCAGAACACATTTGCAGCCTCACCCACCGCCTCCAGCCAGCGACCTGCCTGTAGTGAGATCCAGGGAGGCCTGTACAGCCGGAAGCGGTGTGAGTGGTTAATGGTGCTCTCTTCCTTCCTGCACAGGCTTGGCCTTTTTGTGGGGGCTCCTGATCCTCCTGAAATATCGGTGGCGCAAGCTGGAAGAGGAGGAGCAGGCCATGTATGAGATGGTGAAGAAGATCATAGGTGTGTGGCCCCTGGGGAGAGGGCGCTGGCCCTGCCAGGAGATCCTTGCCCTAAACGTGCCCTCTGTCCTGCAGATGTGGTCCAGGACCATTACGTGGACTGGGAGCAGGACATGGAGCGCTACCCCTACGTGGGCATCCTGCACGTGCGCGATACCCTCATCCCTCCGCAGAGCCGGTGAGTCCTGGGCCCACCCACCGAGTGCTATGGAAGGAGGCCCACCGCGCCACACCGGGGCCCCCACCGTCCCAGGAGGAGGTCGTCCATTTCTCCTGCTGCTCCTTCAGCGCTCAGACAAGAAGTATAGAAGCGGGCCCCACGTCTCTGTAGAGAGGGCAGCACCATTAGTGTTGACACCGATTGGGTGCTTTGAGCAGCAAGAACTAGAACCACACACCTCCCCCAGTGACTCAAGCAGGGAAGGACCTGGTGGGTTTCCGTGAGTGGGAGCCTAGAGTCACGTGGGCGCCGCGCACGAACAGTCAGGCCTCTGGTTCCATCTCTGTGATTTTCGTGGGCTCGCCCTCTGTGGATGCTGCCGGCCAGAGGAGCTCCTCCTGGTCACGAGATGGTGGCTAGCAGCAGCCTCTGCCTTGGCACAGCCAGCCGGGCAGGGGGAGGTGGGCTTACCGTTGTTGTCACGAGCAAGAGGAAACCTTCTCAGAACCGCTATTGACACTCCTGAGGCCCCGCTGGCT